CCCATCTTTCTGATGGGCATGAGGTACTACTTCAGTAGAAAAGTTATCCTCCACTATCTCGATTGTGCGCTGCATACGGACATGTCCGATATTGAGCAATATTACATGAAACCGCCAGGTGAGTACGAATTCCCCGGAGGGAGCCTTCCCCCAGCCCTGCTCGGGGAACATGGCTGCTCCCTGCTGCTGGCGCCTTTTCCTCCTGTCAGCAGCACTGAGCAAGCTCAAAAGTCACCAGAATGCAGCTCTCTAGCCACGCCAGCCACAAAGCCATCTCTGGTTTTGTTCTGGGGTTTTGGTTTGGGTTCCCCCCCACCCCACCCCCAAAATGTCTAGTCATCCAAGGCAGCCTCCATCCACCCTGGAGCACAGCACTCTGGGTCCTGTGGCCGCTCCGGGGACCGGGGCGCGGGTTTTCGGGGGCACTGAGGGCCGATGATGCAGGTTATTTGCTGCTGGTTAGGTCCACCCCACCCCTTGTTTCTCGAGCTCAGTATTTCTTTGCTCCTCACGCTTGGTATTAATTCTGAGAGAGGGAGGAGGGGGAAACGAAAGGCCTTTTAGGCCAAATGCATAAAGGAACCCGTTTCAGTTATTGCGCCCGTTTTCCCATATTATGCAAGAAGAACCTTCCTTAATGCGAGTGTTTTGGAAGCGGCACAGATCAGGTATGTAAAGGGATGCTGCCCGGGTTTAACATAATATGCGTTTATCCATTTGTTACGTATATGCCTGTAATTAAAAATACAGTATCTAATGATAATATTTGCTTGTTAAGCTGTAAAAGATTTCTTATGTGATTATTTAAAAAAAAAAAAAGTCCCTTTAGAAGTTGGCAGGTGCTGTTTCCCTTTTTGCAGGCATACATCCATGCTGAGGACAAGAGGAAGGGGGTGTCTGGGCAGTCTCTTGGGGTTTGAGGTTTGCTGTTGGTGGTCGCGGAGTACTAGTGGTGAGCTGGGAGAGCAAGGCGATGCCAGTACCCCACCGTAGTTCCATCTTCCCGGGGTACCTACTCTGTTGTTTTTCTGTGTGACCGTGTTTTCGCTGTATCATTGCTGTTCCCCAGGTGTGACAGATCTCGTCTCGGGTGCTTTTAGAGGACTCGTAGGAAGTACCATAGCCAGAAACTTGCCTTCGCTTCTAATGTGCAATATTACATTTTGATAAAATGATGCTCCACCTCTAATAAAAATCACCAAATATCTTAGATGTGCTTGCTTTAGATTTTGTTTCCCGTCATAGTGCGCATCTCATACAGATGTTGTCCCACCTTACACACAGCTTGCGTTTCATTTACAGTGCTTGTTTTTGTAAAAATTAAGTAACGTGTGACTTGTATTTAAAAAGCTCAATCTTCATTAAAGGTGGTGTCACAAAAATAAAAGGGCTCATAGCAAAACATTTCCGAACCTCTGTAGTGAGGTTCAACAACGTGTTGTGCTGGAGAAGGTAGCAGGGGACTCGAGTAGAATAAGAACATGTAGTATGGAGCTAGGAGGTGTTTGAGCTGCGTTGCTCGTTAATGCCTGGGACTTCCATGGGTCACAATTCAGGGCATGGAGCAAGCAAAATGCCTGTATTTATAACACTAGCATATATGGAAAAGAAAGGAAGGGGACTCAAAGAAGCGTAAGGAATGCCCTCGATTTGTTTAGGGTCAGCAACATAATCTGGTTCAGCTGTGTTGCCAACATGTCTTTGAAATGTTAGCATTGCTTTTATTTGGTACCTAAAAGGGCTGATTTCAATTTTAGAGCAAGTGTGTAGGCTTTAATTTTTGACAGAATTTAATCATGTGTAATTAGGCTTCTGCCATGCCATAAAAAGCAGATTTATGGGATTGTTGGTGCTTGTTAAAGGTCCTTGATGATAGTGGTGTTAAGCAAGTTGGCTGGAGTCGTAATTAGGTAAAGACCGAAGAGGCTTTGGGGAACAAGGAGGAGAAGGATGTCCGTGGGTCGGGACTGGCACCACCAGTGATGCCAGTCTGCCCAGTGCCTGTCCATGTGCCATGAAGCCATGTGGTGCTATTTGGTGTAGCTTTGCATGGGGCACGAATCCAGTGTTTTGCTCCTGTTTCCCCCAAAAATACAGTTGCCGGATTTCTTCCCTCTAAGATAGCGGTATAAATACAGTTATCTTGGAAAAGCCCAGAGATTTGTGTGCCTCAGAGGCTGTCTGTCTGAACTGCCTCGTCTGTCTGAACGTACAGAGGAAGGCAGCGACATGCCACATCGGCGCTGCCCATCCCGCCCAAAGGACAGAAAAATGACAATGAAACGGCTTCCAGCCCCAAGTTTGTCTTTTATTCAGCTAGTTTACAAATTAGCAGGCAGGCAGAAATGATTGCAGTGGGAACGAGAAGGGCTCGTTCTCCTGTGTCTTGCTCCAGCTGAGATATTTGTGAAAGCTTTCTCAGTGAGGTGTTAGGGAAGAAATGGTCACAGCAAAGGCAATCGGACGTGGGAGCGGGGGCCCAGAGAGGCTGGAGAGGGTCAGAGCTCAGCCAGACAAGTTAAAAAACCCAACCTGATGTAACTGCAGGTTGGCCTGGCTTTGGCTGGGAGCATGACCAGGCAACCTCTCACTCCTTCTTTGGAGAATCCTTGTCTACCTGCTTGAATGTTTGGGTTTTTTTTTTTTCCAACATGGAAAATAGGGCAAGGGAGCATTTCTGTAATGGGTTTGCAAATTTTTTTTTCTTAGGGTGATGAACTGGGACATGGTCTTAAGGTCTTGCATCATGATGTGGGTCATGGCTTTGCTGAGGTTTTGCTCTTGGCATCCGTGGTACCCAGGCATGAAAACCTGTTGTTTGCAGTGGGCTCCTTGTGGTGCCCGGGGTTGGGGTACCGTTGTCCAGAGCATCTACAGCAAATAGCCTCTGGTAAGGCAGGCGTCTACAGTGAGGGAGTATTTTAACTATTAAAATGGGTCATTCTTGGTAGTTTTGCCAAAGCATCTGCAAAAAATGTAGGTCAGTTTTAAAACTGAACCAAGAGGACCTGGTTTGCAATGGGATGCTGGAAGCACCCAGCTTAATGATTAGTGTTGAACAATCCGGTGAGTTACATCATGTTATGATTTTTCTGATGCAGTTTTTTGAACTGCTTGCCTCCAAGTTAGTTATTGTTTTAAATTTCCTCCGCTGGGTTTTGTATGAACTGAAAAATATGTGCTGACAGTGATTTTGCAGAAGTACACTAGCCAAAATTTAAATCTTTGTTTTCTCTTGTCCTCCTACACTTACACCAAGGATCTGGCAGAACTTTTGGGCCAGCGCTTTACTTTGAGCTCGTACGCGGTGGGGTGACTTGAAATCGCTGTTGATTTTAAAGGAATTGTTTGGGTTGAGTCCTGCGCTGGGGTCTTAAAACAGAAGGTTGAATGGTTCAAACACCTTCCTGAGCTCTTTGTAAACTTGCATTTTTCATTTTAAAACAGCACTTACTGGAATTTTCCTTTTTTTTTTTTTCTTTTTTCTTCTTCATAGGCTATGAAAAAAGGCACTGGGGTGGTGGAAAAGAAAGGAGTTGGATAATGGGCTTAATTGTCAACCAGAGTAACTTAGGCTCTAGTAAACAAAAAAAAAAAAAGGAATTAATTTTAAATAGAGCCCTGCCTCTTGCATTTCTCTACGCAAATAAGAGAGGAGCACAGCTGGAGTTTCTTTTATGGTCTGATGATTTTGACGACTAATCAATTTTACAGTGTCTCTTCAAGCTTCTGTCCCAGTCGGTTGCGTTCTGTATTTTTTGCAGTGGTTGGTGTGTTAGGGAGATTCTTGCAAGGCTGAGGTCTCTGCTGGAGAGCTGATGGAAACCAGGACTCCTTGCCTCCAATGCAAAACTGCTGCTCTCCAAAACGAGTGGAGCCGGGGCTTTGGCTGATGAGCCAGCACGTCTTTCTGCAGTGGTTTAGAGTGTTACCTCCTGCAGCTGGCTGTCCTGGCAGGCTCTGCTGAAGGGCATGCCTGTGTGTCGTGGTGGTGCAAAGACCTGGTGGTGGTGGGAGCTGACCTTTGCCAGTGGTTTTGGGCACCGGTGACAAGCTGGGTGGCCGCATTGCAATGCCCAGTGCTGCAGGGCAAGACAGACAGACAGTACGGATGGGCAACCTGGAGAGCTGTGGCTGCGGGACCTGGGGGAGTCTTGAGGGCATCTGCCTTGCATAATGCAGCAGATGAAGCCAAAGTGGTTCCTGCAGGAGGTGTCAGGTCGCATTAAACACGCCGCGCTGAGAGCTGCGGTTTTCAGCAGTGGCTGCGCATCTGCGGCTCTCGCGCTTTGGGCGATGGATGCCTCTGGGTGCCTCGTGGTGGGAGGGGACGCACGTCTCTGCTCTCCTGCCTCCGTCCAGGGGTGAGCAGAGCCTCCCTGTCCCGCCGCCCTTTGTCCCTTGGTACGTGAGGGTCTGGATGAAGAGCCTGCACTGATACCCCAACCTCCCTGGGGGACAGGGCCCTGAGGAAGAGGGGCTACAGGGGGATGGCTCATTAAAGTTCAATTCCTGCCGCTCTTGGGTGACACATTCTGCAGCTGAGCCCAAAGCAGGGATGTCCTGCCCTGCTTGGCAAAGGCTTTGGGATCACATCCTTCTGCCAGAAGGACACCACTTGAAGTGGAGCTGGGTTGTGAGGAGGTGAGATCCTGTTTGCTTCTCCTTCCTTTTGAGGTGTTTCTCGCCGTCGGTGGGATGTTTGTCTGGGTAACAAGCATTTTAGTTGTGCTCTTGGATCGGGCCCATTCCACAGTGGGTTTGGTGCCAGAGGGACGGAGCTGATGCCAGGAGGTGAGCAGCTGGATGGAAAATTGTGTGGTTCCCGTTAGCCCCGCTTAGTGGGTGCTGAGCTGCAGGGTGAGCAGCAGTGAGTTTTGGGGTGCAGGGAAAATACAGGGACCGCTTTGGGAGGAGATCCTTGGGCTGGGAGCTGCGGTTGCTCTGCCATGCCCAGCCCCTTTGCAAGCTGGGGGGGGGGTTCTCCCCACCACAGAGCCCCCGGGCGGAGGGGCTGCTGTGGAGCCCAGTTCTTCCACATTCTGGGTAATGCTCAAGCTGCCAGATAAGCAGGAGTGCCGCTGCCCACTGATAACATTGTTTGGAAAGAATAGAGCA